CCCTTTTACACTCCTGTACCAGTAAGTAAGATCATGGCTCATCTCATTGTGGTCGCAGCTGCACTTTTCTGTCAATACCTAACATTCCTGATTCACCCGTCCATCAAAAATCAAACTAAGTCAGCCTCGAAATAATGCAAAGATTCAACCACCACAAACAACTGGGAAAGAGAATTCTCACTTCAATGAATTTCTCCACATCCCTGTTCTGATCGTGGTTGGAGTGGTCACTGTTTCCTTTTCTAGTCCCACCCTTCTACTTGTCACAATAAATTTTAAATGTAACCAGGGTGGTGTTATGGCCAATGATATGGGTCTCAGGCTGTTTCAGGTTCAGTGATAGGAAGAAGGCAGGCAGATTTCTTTTGTCAACCACAAATAATTGGTTTATGACCAAAACAAATTTCTCCAAGAAAGGTGCAAAGTCTAATGACAACAAATTTGGACACGGACACTTATTGGCAATCCACCTCATCCACTGTCCTCAAGATCTTGTATGATCCAATTAGATCACCTCTGATTCAAAGGGTAACGTGTTAAACCTTCATAATACAAGCCCTTCAACCCCAGAATAAGTGAAATTAAACATCTCTGAACTGCTTCTAACATAATTTTATCCTTTCTCATGTCGGGAGGTGAAACAAAACCATCATGCACAGTCCTCTGAATGTGTTCTCAGTAAGACTGGGCACATTTGCAACACCATGTCCTTCTGACAAAGTTGACTGAAAGTGAAGCAAGCGAGCACATTTTGTGTCCTTATTTTTCTTTAGAATTCAACTTCAATTTATTACACAGATGAGGAGATTTATTTTGTTTCTATTTTCTCCGAGTGTTGTGAGTCTTTGGAACTCTCTTTTCCAGAGAGCATTGGAGAGAGAGATACTGAATATTTTTGACGCCCAGACAAATAGATTCATGAATAACAATGGAGTCGAGGATCATTGGGGTCTGGAAAGGAACGTGTACTGTAGTGGGAAATGCTGACAGTGATACAAAATGAAACAGTGGATGACCAGGCCATCCAGGAATACAATGGAAAATAAATGATGATTTAGAGAAAATTTTAAAATGTTAGCAGTGATAGAATGAAGTCGCTAGAGTCCCAGACGACAATGATACTGTTCTCTTATTAGACAGAGACCGCTTGTGGTGTTTTAACCTGAAGGTCACCAGAGCTTGGGCAAGGTTCAAGGTTGAGAAAGTGGGCTATTCACGGTAACCTCTGTCAGTGTGGAAATAGAGCCTGCGCTGTTGGCCTCCTTTTGCATCACAAACCAGCTGCCAGCCAACTGAATGGGAGACCATGAAACTGCTACAGACAGAAATAGTCAAAGACAAAGGACAATAGAAACACTGATAACAATGAAGAAACTATAAGTCAGTTAACGTTCATGATAACAGCTGAGGACAAAAAGTGTTCTCTATTAGGAACTGAATTTTACAATGAGACAAATGTTTAGATGCTGTCTTTGGCTGAATAGAATAAGGTGAGATAAGCGAAATAACCAGAATTACTAATTGTGAATGGATATTTATAACCATAAAATAAGTGTATATTTTTGATTGGTCTGTGTGAAGTTAGCGTACAATTGCATAAAAGTATAAATTTGATATTATATATGGTTTGGAGAGTCCATCCACATACGAAATGACTCCTGGACACATGTTTGAAGAAAACCGATATGAAATGTGTTTGAGTATCGTTTGGTCAGTGACAGGAACCAAGGGGACTGAATGATTGAATGTTCCTGTAACATAGAGCTCAGGACACAATCAGATCAGCTAGAATCTTATTGAAAGGTGGAGCAGATTTAAAGAACTAAATGGCCTCATAATAGACGTTAATGATGTGTCATTTGGAAAAAAAAAATACAACTTTGTTCTCACCTTCCGCAGTACATAAGGTGGGAACTGGCATTTTCCTGAACCTGGGAATTGTTTGAACATTATCTGGAACATTCTACAAACAACATCATCCAGAAAATTGTGGAGATGACATTCTCCAGAGCATTATATAACCACATGGGGGCACTGCATAGATCAGAGAGAGAGGGGAAAAGTGCTTTATGCAGGCGTGTGAGTTGTGCAATATGAGCCTTGTTCGGAGGTAGATGCTATAACAGATATTCAGTGAGTATGAGGGAGCAGAGAGAATACGATGATACTTGTCCTGGAAGAGCTGGGAAGGTTATTGAGGCTTTTCCTGTATTCCTAGACATTTCTTCAGAGCGCAGATACGGCATTGAGATGGATAGAGAGCTCAGACCATGCTCGGTGGATCTGATGATGTCGTCTTCTCTGGGAAGAGAAAGGTCCTCCTCCTTGCTAGCCCATCCACTCGGGCCTCCAGGCCTCTGTCAACAAATTGTGGTGTAATTGCCCCTTATCTGTCATGGTTGGGATAAACCGTGCAGGGCAGGTGGAAACTTAGAAAGTTCAAACATGTGCCCATTGGCTTTTTGAAGTAACGGGTCACGGAAATTTCAGGGGCATCGGACACTGGCGAGTACATCCAGCTATGAGGAATGGGAGAATCAGGCTGCCAATGAATGACAGGTACCCCGTGGTGTATGATAGTTAGATAATAAGGTGAGTTTGACAATATAGCACCAGAAAACTAGCTCGGCCTCGTGCAGACGATCCCTCTGTCAAACTAAATGAAAATGACACTTTGACAAATTATTGTTAGCTTCAGCCCACGAAGCCAAAGACTCTGCTGTCCCTACTCTCAGTTACAAAGCTGCAGAACAAATGCTCATCCAAAACTTTCCATCGTCTGAACTCAAACCAAAATCCCATTCATCGATCATTCCTGGAAACACTGGCTTTTGTTGCAAGATGCTGTCAAAACATCTTCAGTTGTCATTGTTAGACCTGTGAACACATTCCTCCATGCCAGTGTGTCTCAATCTTCCCCTCTCTATCTATTTCCCAACCTCTTCCTATTTGTTGGTATTTATAGAAACATAGAAGACATGATCAGGAGGAGAACATTTGGCCCTTCGATTTCTTGGCTCTCGAATCAAAGTTGAGGAATTCCAGGATAACTCCTCTCCTGGCCGTATACCACTGTATCACCACCACTGGTGGACCTGTCCTGCCAGTGGGACAGGATGGTGATGGTGCCCCATGAAACATTACCCATCAGGTACGAAAGCAAATAATTAAAGTATTGGCTTAATCCTATTGTTTTTATGCAAAGTGCCAGTTGATGCAAGTTTGGAGAGAGATTTCCATCGCATGGCTGAGTGGATCTCATCAAACTCATTGCATTAATTGGTGTTTGAGCCCTCGCAGTGAGCATCATGTTCATTGCCCCCATTTCTTACTGTACATCATTCGCAGAGCAACTCACCACTCAACGGAACTCCTGCAAACAACCAGCATCCCGGGCAGCTGTACCAACATTGAAAACGCATAGTGCACTGGAACAAGCACGGTCAATACAGAGCTACCCTGCATGTCCTCTGATATTGGCCCTGCACGTGGCACTCTGGGGGAAATTTCTGCACCCCCAAACCCTGGTTGCGGGCATGGGCATGCACTTTCTCCTCGCTGGGGAGGTGCAAAGGCAGAATTTCTTCTTCACCCATGACGAGTGGTTGAGGCCATGACACCCAGGTTCGAGCAGTCTCAGCCATCTGGAGCAATGTACAGCATTGTAGGGAGATCATTGTCCATCTTCACATCAGCAGATTAAGGCGAGATCCAGTGAGAATCTCGCCATTCTCTTGAGAATGGGGTTTAAAAACAAATCAGCAACGATCAAATGGCAGAATTCTGCTCCTAGGTCTTATGGTCATCGGAAAGGTGGCAGATGTGTAAGCAAATATTTGTCTACACTCAGTAAAACTTTATTCCAATCAAAAACCAAGGTGTCATTGAGAAGACAAACATCCCATGGTTCCCAAAGACGATCAAATAGTGTATCCAATTATAAACTGAAGCTTACAAGGTGGCAGGACTACTGCTAGGGGAAACATATTTGGTTTGGAGAAGCCATTTGTGCTTTATTACAGAGATTAAGAGGCTTATTTTATTTTCTCAAGTGTTATGAGTCTTTGAAACTCTCTTGCCCAGCGTGTGGGGAAGGCAGAGGCATTGAACATTTTTTCCGGGAAAGACAGACAGATTCAAGAATTACAACGGAGTCAATGGTCATCAGGGATTGGGTGGGATGTTGAGGTCAGAACACAGTCATATCAGTCATAATCATATTGAAAGGTCGCATAGGTTTGGAGAGCTGAATAACCAACTGAGGCACCTTAATCCAATGTTCCTGTGATTGTAGCAAAGTGAGTCTGCTCCTCCTAATTGGCATTTTCCTGATCCTGATTTTGTTTGAAACATGGTTAGGTGGTTGTTTTCGACTGGGGAAGACTTAATGGATGGAATGGCCTCTGTATGTAGGTCTTTATGTCTCTGTCACCTTCCGTAAACGACATTCCTCAGAACATTCTATAACCAACATTATTTCTGAACAGCTGAGCAAAAGTTTGTTGAATAAAAGACTAAATCCTGAGGGAAAATATCCCATCCAGGAAGGAGACACTGTTGCTAAGTCCCCTCAGGCAGTTAAAGGGGAGATAAATTTTCCCTGTGTTTTATATTCCTTCACAACAGAACAATTAGGACAATTTAAACTAAAAGACAGAAATTTACAACCTCTGTTTGTCTTCCAGGAACTGGGAGAAAATCCTTCAGGAAGGCAATGTTTTCATCCACCGTATTAGGAACCATAAAGAAGTGTCCTGTGTCTGTTCTCGAGTGATCGAGTATGTGGGAATGTTCCAGAAACCATCTCTTCTTATGGATGTGTGTTTGGGGAGGGAGGGTTTCTTGTGGTTTACATTACATTTTTGAATGTAATTCAGCTCTAATACCATCAATGAATCTCTGAACACAGTCACTAATTTGAAAATATCACTAGACCTCCATCAAACTGGTAAATTTGCCTCCAAACTGACGCATAATTTGCTTGTTTTTCTTCCTCACAGTAAATGTAGTGACGATCTACGTCCTGCTTTATAAAGCTTGTGGATTGTCTCCATGTGTCAGTCGTTACCTGATGGCGATGGCAGCGGCAGATCTGCTGGTCGTTATCCTCGACCTGATATTGAGACACATTCCGATTGTTTATCTGGAACAGTTTTATTTCCTGGAGTCCATCCGCGTGTGTAATATCCATGCCGTCCTGCTTTATGCAGTCACTGACTGCTGTGTATGGTTTACCGTCACTTTCACCTTTGATAGATTTGTGGCCATTAGTTGCCAGAAGCTGAGAAGTAAATATTGCAGGAAGAAAACTGTAGCTGTGGTTCTGGAAACAGTGACTGTGTTAAGCTGTTTAAAGAACATTTTCTGGTATTTTATGTTCTCAGATCGGTATCGGCTGATGAATGACCCCTGGTTTTGTGTGGTAACAATCGATGTTCAAATGTCACATGTCTGGGTCCCAATCGAGTTCCTCCACCACATTCTAACACCGACTCTCCCATTTCTCGTGATTGTGCTGCTCAATGTTTTCACCGTCAGACACATTTTAGTGACCAGCAGAGCCCGCAGGAGACTCCGGGCTCACACCAATGGGGACAATCAGGATGACACAGAAATGCAAAAGCGAAAAAAATCCATTGTTTTACTGTTTGTGATCTTGGCCAATTTCATCCTGTTATGGTCAACATTAATTGTGTATTCTATATCACACCGGATGAATAATATTGGGTATATGTCTGTGTATCTAGATTATTCTGTGTTGGAATTAGGCTTCATGCTGCAGCTCCTCAGTTGCTGCACAAATACCGCAATTTATGCGGTAACCCAGACTAAGTTCAGAGAGCAACTGAAGAATGTGCTGAAATACCCCTTTATACAAATTCAGTCAATCTAGTTCACTCATTAAACAATCCATCCAGGATTTTCTCATTTCAGTTCAATGTTTCAGCATTGAAGCGGCCTGTTGCTATGGTAACAGATTGAGGGTAGTTCTAGCTTGTCCAACCTTATCACATAGGTTACAAAAACACATTCCAAAGTTTCTCTCAACTCAGGGGCTTGTGAAAAAAAAAAGCACCATTCCACTAACTGGACATGAAAACTGCAATTTGTATATAATAAAAATGTTCATTTAAAAAAAAAGTGCCAAGCAGCTGAGCTAACAATACTTTGTTTGTTTATTTGTCGAAGAAGCTTAGCTGGTGAGAGACAGACCAAGTCCCAAGTCTGGTTTCTTCGGGAAGGGAAAGGGACAGGCGTCGAGCTTAGGAGTTGGGTTTAAGTCACTCCGTCCTTGTTTTCACCTCTGGTGACACTGATTGTAACCTCTCGCTTCATATCTGCCTTCCACCCATTCTGCCCCACACTGGAACTTCCCTCTTTTTCCTCGAGCGATCTCCCTCTGATTTTGTCACTCTCTTTCAGTGTCTCTCTCACTCCAATTCTCATTCAAACTGCTTCCCTCCCGCGATCTCTATCTATCTAGCACCCTACCTTTCTCACAAATTTCTGACTCTCTCCAAACCTCTGTTCCTCTGACTTTCCTTACTACCTTTCCTCTCTGTAATTTTTCTGTCATTCTCCCTCCCTCAATCTGTCTCCATCTCTTTTCATCCCTCCCCTTTTTTCTGCTTTTTGTATCTTTCTCTCGTCTTCCAACACACTGTATCCATTCTCGCTTCCTCTCGATTTCATTTTCTACTCCATCCCTCTCTCTGCCCCTCAGTCATACTGACACACTCCTCGCAGCCCTGTGGGATGAGAATCCTACCCTGTCATCTCGATGGTGTTTCTTCAGAGGACCAGGCTCCTCTGTGGGAAGGATGGAGCTTTGTATTCCACTTGACCCACTAACTGGCTCCGAGCCTGGTACCCCACAACCTCCAGTAAATCAGAGCCTGTTTACACATCATGGACAATGGGATGTCCCATTACTTAGTTCGGCCAGATAAAGGCCTTTGGCCCGCATGGTATTACACTTTGACAGATGGAAGACGATCCTTTGTCTGAGCAGATAGGAGATACTGGCCAGCTGGATTTGGTGACCATTGGAGGGCCATTTAGTGGGCGCGATGGTAAACATCGTGGGCTAAATGGTATGCTTTGTCAGATCAGATAAGGGCCTTAGACAAGTGGAAAGATGTCTATGGAAGCCATGCTTCAACGTGGGCCAGCTTTATTGCCCATCCCGAGTTCTTCTAGAGAAAGTGGTGATGAGACGTCTCCTTGAACCACTGCAGTTCATGCAGATACCAATAAGCCATTTCTCAAGTAGAAGTCCACCATTGGATCTACAGACCGTTCCCCGGAGAAAAATGTGGATGATCAATCATTGGGCGTTGCTAGAGAAAGAGAGTCAGATTTGGACAGCAGGCTGTTGGCTCAGAAACACAGTGAGGCTGGGGCTACTTATTGGGAATAGTGTGGAAGCTTAATTTCAGTGGCGGGAGAGGTGAGAGCATGAGCCAGAGGGCAGCTGGGAAGGTAAGGTTCCCGTGTAAAAAAAAAACTTGCCTCGTGAGTCAGCGGCCTTCTTAATTTCAGTGGCAGGAGTGGGGAGAGTGCAAGCCAGGGGGTAGCCGGGACGTGAACAAATATACTCGGGCATTGGCTAAGCCCAAAACATTGCACGTGTAGTGTCTCCCACCCATCTTCCTTCTTTAAACAAAAAACAAGACTGTGTTGAGGGTCAGTAAGGTAAGTTTTATTTCCCCTTTATTCTTTTGGCAATCTAGAGTAGACAGGATGGAAGCTAGCACATTTGCTTGCACCTCTTGTAGGATGTGGGAGGTAAGGGAGGCTACTAGCGTCCCTTCTGACTTCACCTGCGAGAAGTGCACCCAACTCCAGCTCCTCACAGACCGCGTTAGTGAGCTGGAGCTGGATGAACTCCTGATCATTCGGAAGGCTGAGGGGATGATAGATATAAGTTATAGGGAGGTTGTCACACTCAAGTTACAGGATAAAGGCAGCTGGGTGACCGTCAGGAGAGGGAAAGGGAATAGGCAGACAGTGCAGGGATCCGCTGTGGCCGTTCCCCTCAATAATAGGTATACTGCTTTGGATACTGTTAGGTGGGTGGGGGACGACCTACCAGGGGAAAGCCATAGCGGCCAGGTCTCTGGAACTGAGTCTGGCTCTGTGGCTCAGAAGGGAAGAGCGGGGAGAAAGGAGAGCGATAGTGAAAGGAGTTTCAATGGTTAGAGGAACAGACAGGAGATTCTGTGGTAGCGAGCGAAACACCCAGATAGCTGTTGCCTCCCGGGTGCCAGGGTCAGGGATGTCTCGGATCGAGTCAACAGAATTCTTAAGGGGAAGGTTGAGCTGCTAGAAGTAGTGGTACACATCAGTACCAAAGGCATAGTGAGGAAAAGGGATGAGGACCTGAAAAGTGAAGGTAGGCAGATTGGAAGCTAAAAGCCAGGACGAGCAGAGGAGTAATCTAAGGATTACTACCGGTGCCACAAGCTAGTGAGGCTAGGAATAGAGAGCGAGTGCAGCTGAACACGTGGCTAGAGAGCTGGTGTAGGAGGGAGGCCTTCAGATATATGGATCATTGGGATACATTCTGGGGAAGGTGGGACCTGCACAAGAAGAACTGGTTGCACCTGAACTGGAGGGGCACCAATATCGTGGGTGGGAGGTTTGCTAGAGCTCTTCTGGAGGGTTTAAACTAGTTTGGCAGACACAGCATGCAGAGAACCTGTGAGGAAGGATAGACAGTTGATAGGGCAAAGTTGCAGTCAGTGTGACGGGTTGAAGTGTGTCTATTTTAACCCAATTAGTGTCAGGAATAAGGGTAACAAACATAAAGCATGGATCAGTACTTGGAGCTACAATGTTGTGGCCATTACGGAGACTTGGATAACACAAGGGCAGGAATGGTTGTTGGATGTTCTGGGGTTTAGATGTTTCAAAAAAAGGCAAGGTAAAAGAGGTCGGGGAGTGGCATTGCGAATCAGGGACGGTATCACAGCTGCAGAAAGGGAGGTCGTCGAGGAGGGCTTGTCTAATGAATCAATATGGGTGGAAATCAGAAACAGGAAAGCAGCAGTCACTTTAATGGGAGTTTTCTATGGACCCCCCAATAGCAACAGAGACTCTGAGGAACTGATGGGGAGCAGAATTTGGAAAGGTACAGAAGTAATAGGATTGTTGACATGGGTGAGTTCAACTTCCCTCATGTAGACTGGAACCTCATAAGTGCAAATAGTTTGGATGGAGACGGATTTTGTCAGGTATGTCCAAGAGGGATTTCTGACTCAATATGTAGATAGGCCGACTAGAGGGGAGGCCGTATTGGATTTGGTGCTTGGCAACGAACCAGGCATGGCGTCAGATCTTTCGGTGGGACAGCATTTCGGTGATAGTGATCACAACTTCCTTTGCTATAGTCATGGAGAGGGATAGGAGCAGATGGTATCTGAAAGTATTTAATTGGCGGAGGGGGAATTACAATGTCATTAGGCAAGAACTGCGGAGCATAAATTGGGGACAAATGTTCTCAGGGAAATGCACGACAGAAATGTGGAAGCTGTTTAGGGAACACTTGCTACGAGTACTGGATAGGTTGTCCCTGATTGGCCCTACCCTCACACCGGCCATCCTCTTGTTCCTCACATAAGTATAGAATGCCTTGGGATTTTCCTTAATCCTACCTGCCAAGACTATTTCATACCCTCCTCTCATCTCCTAAGTCCATTCTTCAGTTCCTTCCTGGCTACCTTGCTGCCTTCTAGAGCCCTGTCCGATCTTACTCAACATTAAGTAAGCTTCCTTCTTCCTCTTGACTAGGTGTTCCACCTGTCTTGTCATTCTATGGACTGCCTTTCCGGGTGACTAAAACTGTTCACAGTATTCCAGGTGGGATCTGACTGATGTCCTGTGCAGTTTTAGCATATTTTCTATTTTTATACCTCATTCCCTCTAAAATAAAGGCCAACAGACTTTTTGGCTTCCTGATTACCTGCCGAACTTGAATGCTAGCTTTTCTTCTTTCAAGTACGAGGGTCCATAATTCTATCTCTGCTGCAGCTTTCTGCCGTGTTTTTCCCCATTAAAATAATATTCACTGCTGTCTTCCTGCAAAAATACATAAACTTCAATTTTTCTCACATTATATTCCATCCGCTGAGGTTTTGTCTACTTGTATAACCTGTTTCTATCCCTCTGTCGTCTCGTTATGTCATCTTCACTATTTGTTTACATGTATCGTGTGCCATTAGCAAAACTTCCCAAACCAGCCACTTCCACCACAATGAAGGACCAGGGAAGTAGGCGTATTGGCCTATCACCACCTTGAAGCTCCGTCTAATTCACATATAAATTTCCTCCAATTCAATCCAGAAGTAGGGGGCATAGTCTGAGAATTAGAGCAAGACTATGCAGAAGAGATATTAGGAATCAAAGGGTGGTAGAGATTTGCAACTTGCTTCCAAAAATGGCAGTTGATGTTCAATTACTCAGTTGTTAGTTTTAAATCTGACATAGATAAACTTATGACCAGCAAGGGTGTCCAGGGATATGGTCCACAGACAAGTTTATGGAGTTAGGCCACAGATCACCCATGATTTCACTCAATGGCAGAACAGGCTCGGGAAGTTGAATGGCCTACTCCTAATGCTTTATTCACTGATAGCTACTGGTTTCAGTCCGTGTTACAAACTTCTAACTCCAACTGCATCGCTCGCTCTGATAACTGTCTGAACCAGGTTCTTTGCAACGTTGGTGAAATATCGGACTTGGACATAAGCTTTCAACCACAGTGTCACATCTTCACTGTGACATTCTATTTCCATTTCAGTGACATGGCCCGACTCCAGCACAGTCTCAGCTCCATGTGCTGAAAATCTCATCCAGTCCTTTGTAACCTTGAGACTGAATAACCCGAATACA